GTGTCCTATAATCTGTGATAATATGTTGAATATTTTTATTATTCCATAAATTTTATTCTTACTACACATATAGTGTTTGGAGTAATGCACTTAGTTGTATAGGACAATATTCAAGGTCAAAGCATGAGATTATTGAGATAACTACCTTTGTCAATAATTTGTAACCTTCAAACTTTACATCTTAAGTGAAGAATGGATAGGAGATTTTCTATAGATTTTTGGATCATTTTCCTACAAGATAATATTACTGACTTGAAACATTTCATGGTGATTTACATACCTGCAGTCATAAATAGATACATGTAGGCATGGGGTAGACTCCTATAGATTTTAAGATCTTCATTCAAAAGTATGGAAAGTTTTTAAGTTTGAAAGATTAAATGTCAGCATATCATTTGCTTGTGAATTTAAAATAAATTCAAACATATACATCTATGATAACTAGTTATTTCAATTCCTGGACTTTCTGTCTTGATATTTTCCTTTATTATCTGTAAAATTTAATGATTGTCTTTTTAGTTTAGTTGAACTAGTTTCTTATTAGCATGTGAAAATGGCATCATCCAAATAAGTTCATCTACATTTTATATGTAGGAGAGAATTTTTCATCACAGGGAAAGAAAGAGATTGTCTTGTATAATATAATGCATTGGTACACAAAAATATCTTTCAATTTCTAACATGTTTCATTTTTGTTACATGGAATGATAAGTTCTGTTGATTTCCTACCAAAGACATACTAGTAGAGTAATAAATGTATATGATGTGTCAGAAAAGCATGTGGAAACCTAATGACTTTATCATTTCTGATTAAAAATCAAATTATGAGTTTCATCTTTGTTACATTATTAAAAAATTCTAAGTAGAGCATACACCAGAAACTCTTAAAATGATCTCTACTGTTCAATCTGAGTCTCAGGGTTTAACAGTACAAACAATTTCAAATGATTTTGGACGCTTTTTTATGTATCAAAAAGACAAAACAGAATATCTGTTCACAGATGTTCCAAAGGAAAACAACCACAAAGAAAAGATTTGTTATGTTCTTTATGTGATTCATGTAAAATGTATTTTAAAAGTGTAGCATAACATTCATCTTTTGCATAAATACTTTTTTTTGTGGAGATTTTTTTATATTTTTGAAAAAAAGTAGTCTTATTGTATAATAGGGTTAGCTTAAAATCTTGTAGACTTTAAAGTTGTACATGATGTGTTACACATCTTGCATATTTTCATTTCAGGGTATTCAGCATATATTGTGGTTTTGTCTTAAATTTGTTTGCTTATGTAATCAATAATTTGAGAATACTCAAATTAGAAAATGTATGAGAGAATAGGCAAGAAAATGAGGTTAAAAATGTTTTACTACAAAGGGGTTAATCTATATATTTAATCTATAAGTACATTTAGTCTATACATTTAAGGTATTTCTGTATGAAATAAATTTACATTTGAGTATTTTAAGACAATTGTAAACATTAATTTAGCCAGTTTAAAAAAATGATTAGATTCACTGTCAGCATGTTATTTCTTGTAAAATAAAAAGAAAGCAAACAATTTTATATGAGTCAGTTTTTTTTTACATGTTAAAATACATTGGAATGAATCACAAAGAACATAACAAATCTTTTAATTGTTTTCCTTTGGAACATCTGTGAACAGATATTCTGTTTTGTCTTTTTGATACATAAAAAAGCGTCCAAAATCATTTGAAATTGTTATGTACTGTTAAACCCTGAGACTCAGATTGAACAGTAGAGATCATTTTAAGAGTTTCTGGTGTATGCTCTACTTAGAATTTTTTAATAATGTAACAAAGATGAAACTCATAATTTGATTTTTAATCAGAAATGATAAAGTCATTAGGTTTCCACATGCTTTTCTGACACATCATATACATTTATTACTCTACTAGTATGTCTTTGGTAGGAAATCAACAGAACTTATCATTCCATGTAACAAAAATGAAACATGTTAGAAATTGAAAGATATTTTTGTGTACCAATGCATTATATTATACAAGACAATCTCTTTCTTTCCCTGTGATGAAAAATTCTCTCCTACATATAAAATGTAGATGAACTTATTTGGATGATGCCATTTTCACATGCTAATAAGAAACTAGTTCAACTAAACTAAAAAGACAATCATTAAATTTTACAGATAATAAAGGAAAATATCAAGACAGAAAGTCCAGGAATTGAAATAACTAGTTATCATCTAAAGATGTATATGTTTGAATTTATTTTAAATTCACAAGCAAATGATATGCTGACATTTAATCTTTCAAACTTAAAAACTTTCCATACTTTTGAATGAAGATCTTAAAATCTATAGGAGTCTACCCCATGCCTACATGTATCTATTTATGACTGCAGGTATGTAAATCACCATGAAATGTTTCAAGTCAGTAATATTATCTTGTAGGAAAATGATCCAAAAATCTATAGAAAATCTCCTATCCATTCTTCACTTAAGATGTAAAGTTTGAAGGTTACAAATTATTGACAAAGGTAGTTATCTCAATAATCTCATGCTTTGACCTTGAATATTGTCCTATACAACTAAGTGCATTACTCCAAACACTATATGTGTAGTAAGAATAAAATATATGGAATAATAAAAATATTCAACATATTATCACAGATTATAGGACACTTGCATCTTTATGGGGGTCCTATTGAGACCTATTAAATTCAAAATAGGACAAACACAAACAAAATGTATTTACAGTTCCAGGAAAGTAAAAAAAAATACACCAAAGCTAGCTTCTGAATATCTGTGTCATTTTTAGGGGGTTGACTTTTAAGATGTCACCGTCTTGTAAAACGTATTCTTGAAAGTAACCCCTACGAGAACCCCTAGCAGAGGGTCGGACCCCTCCTTTAGGGAAGAGAGCTTTTTTTGTTGGGAGGAGCCATGGCTGCAACGAAACAAGGAAGATAACTTATGGTGTTGTTGTTATGGAAACCTGACGCAATCATATTACGTCACCGGAGTGGAATTTCCCGTACTTTCTCTTTATGAATGAAAATAATGCATTCCGAGTAGACGTTCGGGAATTCTCTACTATGTCAAATCAATTCTTGTATGAAATGTTGACTATCTTGTATGAAAGTGACTGAAATTATGCTTTTAATATGAATATTGACTCAAAATAATATAAGTTTCATACATGTTTCATAGAAGAAAATGAACTTTTCATTCAGGAAATGAATTTGACTGAATTATGACGTCATTATGACGTCATGACACCTGTCAATCAAAGCAGACGACAGAATTTCGCTTTGTCATCATGTCAAATCAATTCTTGTATGAAATGTTGACTATCTTGTATGAAAGTGACTGAAATTATGCTTTTAATATGAATATTGACTCAAAATAATATAAGTTTCATACATGTTTCATAGAAGAAAATGAACTTTTCATTCAGGAAATGAATTTGACTGAATTATGACGTCATTATGACGTCATGACACCTGTCAATCAAAGCAGACGACAGAATTTCGCTTTGTCATCATGTCAAATCAATTCTTGTATGAAATGTTGACTATCTTGTATGAAAGTGACTGAAATTATGCTTTTAATATGAATATTGACTCAAAATAATATAAGTTTCATACATGTTTCATAGAAGAAAATGAACTTTTCATTCAGGAATTGAATTTGACTGAATTATGACGTCATTATGACGTCATGACACCTGTCAATCAAAGCAGACGACAGAATTTCGCTTTGTCATCATGTCAAATCAATTCTTGTATGAAATGTTGACTATCTTGTATGAAAGTGACTGAAATTATGCTTTTAATATGAATATTGACTCAAAATAATATAAGTTTCATACATGTTTCATAGAAGAAAATGAACTTTTCATTCAAAAGTTGATGACTCGTGTCAATCCATGACCGACTTGTTTTGACACCTCACAAGACACATGATTTTAGCCCACAAAACCAATGGAGTAGATACAAGGATTAATGGAGGAAGTCCAAACTAAACTCTTGGAAGACATTAAGGCTCATTATGAGAGTAACTTTCTAGTGTTTGTTTATTACAAAATTATGTATTATGATAAAAAAAAAAGATTTCACTTTCATTTGTTGTGCCTTACTGTCCCTCACTCAGATCAGAAATGATCTGTTGGTTTTGTAGGTCTCCTTTTTATATAGACTCTCAGGTGTAATTATTTTTTAACTTGCAGAGGAAAAAACCAATAGAGAATTTTGAATTAGGAATAATTCAAAAATCTCATTCTTTATCACTGAAAAAAAAAATCTAGGTCTGAGGAGCTTGCTTAACAATAGAAAACACCAAATTTGGGTTCTGTCTTTTTTATTTATAGTTAACACAGAAATATCCGTTTGGACTGTTGAATCTCGCCTCGACAGATGGGGCAAAACTGAAAGGAAGGAGCACACAAGGCACAGCAGCATACGTGTCCACAAGGTAGAAAAACGATTTGTAATTCCTCGTCTAAACAAATGTGACATTTTCCTCGAGCCTGGACGTCTGGTTCTGGGTTCAGTAGAGGTTTAATCTCAGGTAAAGGTTTATATCCCTGCTTCTCTAAGTCCCCGACAAATATACTCATCACCCAGCTTCGTCCTTTATACTGATTGATGTAAGGACAATTGGGGTTCCAATAAGCATGTTCTGCATAAGGATCCTCCTCAAGATCCCAATTCTCTAAAGTCATTCCACAATGAAAACAGGTAGCGTTATCTTTCACTCCCCTGTAGTAAAACCCAGCTCGAGCTAGGTCTGGTATTTTTCCTGAGAGAAGTTCAGGCCACCCCTGCTCAAAAGTAGCTTCTCTCTTTGAGAGCTGAGCATACTGGGGAAAACGCATGGGTTGGTCTGGCTCGCGATTCCCCATGATTAGAAATGACCTTTGATTTTGAATAAGAATACCTTTTATAGAGAAGAAAAAACAACAACACATAAAACAACAATTCAATTTTTTATTTGTAACAACAAACAACAAACATATCAACATATCAATAACCATAAGGTAAAGTGTTATAATTCTCTACAATTTGTCTCTTGTCATATACAATTCTAACTGTTTTCTCTGAAGGTTTATTCACGACCTCATAATCACGGGTCCTCTGGATTTTGCTGGGATAGGGGACTTTTACTTCCTCTATTTCTCCCTTGAGCATTTTTTCTAAAGTCTCTGGGCACACCAACTGAGAGGTTCGATGGTTGAAAGTGATTCCTTTGCATTTAAGGGTCTCGGTTCCTTTGTCCGTCCGAAAACCATAATTTTTAGGACCTGCCGACATGAATTTGGTGATGTGATCCCCGTCTAATTCGTCGGTCCATTCTCCTAAACTATGACCCAAGGTAGGATTAAAAGCTCCTTCTATATGTTGGTAAATGATACTGTCCGTATCGAAATAAAGGCCCCGTTCTTCTAAAGGTTGTAAAGTCTCGTAGAGATGTAAGCGGGCATAGGCGGTGGTAAAACAAGCCAGGATCACGTTTCCAAAGGGACATTCTTCGACGAATTCCTGTTTGTCTTGAAAATTCAAGAATTGGAATCTTCTTTATTATGTAGAAGTTCATATTGTCTGTTTCTTATTATTATTATTATTATTATTATTATTTTTCTTCTTCTTCTTCCTGGAACTTTTTTGTCCGGGAATGATCTTGTAATCTGTTCGTCCGATGTAGGTAAAACCTTTTTAGGGTTAGTAGACTATGTAGATTTGCGGAACCAAGGATTTTGCGCGCACGTGCTTGCAAGAGCGTGCACGTGCAACACGTGAAATGACCAATATAATAGATATAGCCACAACTGTTCTGTTTTTAAATGAAATGCTTTGAAACTCATAAGTGAGGATATATTTGTAATGAGACATGGTGAAAATAGCAAGATTCCTGCACGTACTTCGCTCTGATTGGCTGAAACTAAAGTCTCAATATCTTTCTTGTTTTTTGAAATCCTTTGAAATTTTGAACATAGCCATGCATTAGGATATCCTACAACATAAAATAAAGCAATAATCATGAAAACACGTGCATGCACGTGCAGTGCAATCTGATTGGCTGAAACTTTAAACAGCTATAACTCCCTTGGTTTTCAACCAAACAAGATTTGGTTAGATAAAGACTTCTACAAGTAGGTATGTCACCATGCACATGCATACACGGCGTGTACATGTGCTGCAATCTGATTGGCTGAAACTTTAAACAGCTATAAAGTTTTCACCCAAACGGGGTGGATCATAGATAGATGTAATTTCCAAGGTATGGTCACCATGCTCATGTATGCATGCGTGCACGTGAAATGAGTAAAATTACACTTGAATGTGCGTATTTTTTTAAAATAATTTTGGATTAAATACTTTAATATTCAGTATATTAAAAATATAGATTGTGTAGACAAGATGATATGGTCATGATGCAAATGCATTCACATGTGCACGCGTGCAATGCTAAGTTTAAATGATTTTTGTACACTTCTTTGTTAATGTTGTTAAAATCTCAGATGCATAGAACGCTTACAGGGAATATGGCACCAAAAGGGATTGGGGAGCGTTTGGGGAACATCTGTAACGGTCCCCGTTACAATTAGCACTAGTTGACTAAGAGTCGCACACCCTTGATGTTGAGAGTCGAATTTTGTAAGAGTTGATGTAATTCCTCTACTTCGTCCAAGTATCTGACTTTGGGTAATAACAATCGTTGAGCAAATTTTCCCCACAGACAATTTAAAAAGAGTTTAGCAATGGTTCTTCTCACTGGATTCTTCTCGATACTGATCCTATCCATCATGAATCCTTCTTTGTCGAAGATTTGTCGAATGTAATCTTGTTCTTGTTCTGAGGTCTTACAGTCGGGGGGAAATCCGGACGCTTCCTGTTTGATCTTGAGGAAGGTATTGATGTACTTTTTAAATAAGTCTTGACTGCTTTCTTTGAAATGCCACACTTCGTAGATTCCCTCTAAGGTATACCCCATGTCCAGGGCTTTATGTAATTCGCTCGTCACCCAAGTACCCGTGAGACTGCGTTCCCGATCGGTGTGTTGACATCGATCTTGAGACGTAGAGTCTTGTTGTTGGGCACACGTGCGACATAAGGGAAATAATAACTTACCTCCCGTCCGATAAGGTAATACGGGGTGAAAGAGGCCTCGGGGTGGTAAGACCCGACAGTGAATGAGACCGAAATAACTTCTCACGTCCTGGAAGTCGTCTGTGATGATCTCGGGATGCCCTAGGGGAAAAGGTCTGTGTTTCAACACGTAAGGGTATAAGGAACACACGTCCACGTATCTCATGTCCCCTTCTTCACAATATAATTTAGTGGCATTGGTCCGGCCTCCGTACAGGGCTTCTCGAGGTTTCAAAGGATCCGGAATGTCCAGATCTCGTACAAATTGCTGTAAACTCTCATCTTGTTGCACTTGTTGATCGAAATCGTGCTCCCAGATACTACACACGTTGTACCCCATGTCCTCTAAATCCGCAGTCCTTCTGAGGGTTTTCTCGTGTAATTGTTGGTAAGTAAATTGGGTCCGGTGAGGATGAGTTTCCGTCTGTAAACTGGGATAGCAAGTGGGGCATCCGTGCCAATAACATCCGTAAAATTCGTAGACGGTACGAGTCGCTTCCTGGTATCCGTCGACGGTATAATTTCCGATCGGGACTTCGCCTCCGTTTCTGGCATGTCGTATGTGACATCCATTCTGATGACTCATCCAGGTGAGCCATCGACAGGCTTTGGCCGAATATTGTCGTGCCGGTTCATACCCGAGGTTCGGAATGATGGCAATGGTGTCTTTAGGCATGAAATTTCGACGGTAGGCTAAATTAGCAGCACTGGCAAACGTGATGGATTCCTGGAAAGGGTCCACGTTGACCAACCCCCTGAGGGTGCTTCTAAACCGTGCACAGCATTGGCGTAAAATGTCGACGTCCGAGATACAATACCCTACAAACTCTTTCTGGAAATCAAACACTTTTCCCCTCTGTTGGTCGTACCATTCGTAAAAAGCTTTTCGTCCACTGGTAGTCATTTCGTCCGGTTTGTAGAAAGCTGCCGGTGGATAAGTTCCCACGTAATTCTGGTTCTGATCCGTATTAAAAAAGTGAGGGAAATAACCTTTCTTCAATTCGTTCAATTCGAAAGCGGAGGGCATCTTGGCCAAAGGAAAGGTTAAGAAACTATACGAGTCGATGAATTTGAGTCCACATATTTCCATGGACAAGATCTTACTCCCGTTCATGATCACGTTAGGTTTCAGGGGAGAAGAATGCACTATGTAATTCAAAATGAATTGTCCGTCGTATCCTTTGAAGTTATGGGCGATGACGATGGCCCCGTCGTGTACTAAAGTGGAATTCTTAGTACCTATAGTGGGTTGAAATAACCAGTCCATGAACTTCTTTAAGGTGTCTGGGCCTTGAAATAGGTGCTGACGGGGTCCCATGTGATGACAATGAGGACAAGGTCGGTCTATGGGTAAGCCATCGCAATGTTGACAGACGCGATGTGCCACACACAGATTAGGAACGTGAATGTCCGATTCCTGAGTGCATTCGAAATCGAAATAAATGGTAAACTCTAAGGTGCCTTTTCCCTTCTTCTTCTTCTTGGGCTTCAGTTGTACGTAGCACCGATGATCGGCATCGACGATTTTCTTACAGATATAACACTGTTTCTGATCTCCGCATTTGTGATGAGGAAATAATTTCTTAGGCATCCAGGACTAACACTTCTCGCATAACCCCATTAAATTGCAGACAGTAGTGGTGGTTTTCTTACCATGAGGTTTTAAATGATTTTCGTAGCAGGTCCTGTTCTTAAACATTCCATGGCATTCCTGGCATTTAATCTTGATCCCTTCATCGGGACAATTAGGGTGATGTCCTAAACAAAAGGTACAGCGATGAGGGCATTTGGAGCGATGGTCTGTGACATTCCTGTACCCCACGTCACAATGATCACAGTAATATTGGTTCCCCGTTACTCCCGGCATCGATATGATGGCATCGCAATGACGGTTGTCTAACAAAATGTTCAAACAAGTTCCATCTCCCCAGCCTTTGAAGATGCGCTCTAAACAGAGTTTAGTCGAAGTAGATTTGAACTGAAATATTTTCAGACTATACTGAGGAGCTAATACCTGTTGTAATTTCGTCCATTCTGGGGCTCCACAAGCTTGAGTGATATCACACCCGGCCTGTTCCATGAGGGCTATGGCTTCTCGTTTCTGATCTAAGGATTCCTTATCTCCTTTCCGCATACGGAGCCAACGTTTTTCCCATTCCGGGTCTGGATGATCGGGTTTCTGACTGTGTAATCGAGTGACGACGATGGCTCTAGCCAAACAAAATTTATCATGGGAACTGACGATCCGAACGATGGATTGTTTATTTTTCTTGAAAGTTTCTTTATCCACTTGTAAATGTTTGGCTCTGTCTCCACCACTCCCCTGGGGATTCTCGATGTGTAACAGATCGAATTCCGTGGAGCCGTCGCCGATTTTGAACTCCTTTTTGGATTGTTGCACGTCTTGTATTTCTTTTAAAATGACGTCTTCGTTTAAATCTTTACATTGCATAAACTCGTACGAAATGTCTGATTCCAGAGAATCGTGATGAAGGTTCAGACGGAGGTAATCGTTAGGATCACACTGCATTTTCGATTTGAAGTCTTGTAACATGTTTTTGAATAATCGCCGAAGGAAAGCTGTGTTTTCTTCTTCTTCTGGAAATTCATCGAAATGATCGACATATCTATTTTCATGCGCTTTAAATTTTGGAGAGGTCCTTTTTTCAGCTAGTCTCATGTGATAATACTCAGAAATGGGTTTAGGTGGCAAATCTATTTCTCTCTCGGTACTTTTTCGTTTCAATATTCGTCGAGCCTGTACCTGTTTTTCTCTAGTAGAATCCATGTCTATCAGGTGATGGCTCTGAGGGTAAAATGAACCCAAAGTCGGAGAAAAACCGTATTTATACAGTGGATGACGTCATAATGCACAGGTAAGTTTTTTGCACACGGCACTTTATAGAGGATGCAAACAGGTATATAAGAAAACACAGGTAAAACGTATATTTCTTTTGCACACGACCCTAATTTTATGCACACGGCACTTTATAGAGGATGCAAACAGGTATATATATAAGAAAACGCAGGTAAAACGTATTTTTGCACACGGCCCTAAAATAAATCCATGCTATATATAAACCAGGGCTGGACATTGAGGATCATTCTGTGTGAGTACTAGGAAGTGAACACAGGTAAAGAAATGGAGCACGCAAAAAATGTGATAGAGGAAACGGAGTATCGTTGGTTTATTGAGACTTTAAATGGTATTGACAAGGAAGGACATTGGATGAAAACGCCACAAGAAGTCATACAGGATTTTATGAATTTTAAATTCCATTCCACAGAATCTAAGCAAAGAAAACTTGGTGAAAGTTTTTGGTTTGAAAGCAGAAATAAGTTTCATGCTGCAGATTGTCCTAAGACAACAAACTTACACTTCACTTTTATTCAGAAGTTTCTGGTAGAGAAATTCAGAAGACTGTCTTCAAAATTTGTTCAAGGGACCCTGGAAAAATAGAAAACTTCCAGCCAGTTATGAATTCTACATGAATGCTCGTATGCCTTTTAAGACTGTCTTCAATATTACTTGTCAAATTTGGGGTATAACAAGTGATTGATTACAGATCCCTGAAAAGGCACAGAAGAAGAAACAGAAAATGTAAATTGTATGTATTTTTTTTCATTGTGAATAAAAACTGAATAAAAATCAAAATCTGTGTTCTTGTTTTCAGTAAAAATCCAGGTTGTTATTGTTTTCAGTAAAAATCCAGTTTGAACCGGTTATAGGGCTGTCTAGATTGTGAAGCGTGACGTCATAATCACATTCTTGTAATGTTTTGCACACGGCGCATTTACCTGTGTCCATAAACAAAACGTAGTACCAACGTACCAATGTAAACACAGTGTAAACAACTCCGTATTTAGGGGATAGGTTAGGGGATAGGGTTAGAGGGCTAAGGGGGTAAGGGTTAGGGATAGGGATAGGGGGTTAGGGTTAGTTAGGGTTAGGGGGTTAGGGTTAGTTAGGGGGTTAGGGTTAGGGTTAGTTAGGGCTAAGGGGGATAGGGATAGTTAGGGTTAGTTAGGGTTAAGGTTAGGGTTAGGGGGTAAGGGGCTAGGGTTAGGATTAGGGTTAGGGTTAAGGCTAGGGGGCTAGGGTTAGAGGGGTTAGGGATTAGGGCTAGGGTTAGGGTTAGGGGGAATTAGGGTTAGGACTGCACTCAGTTGACCCCCTTATCCTCTCCACCAATCAGAACTGATCACGTGATTTCTCTCAGCCAATCAGAATCTTCCCCTAGCTAGGCCCCTTATACTACTTAGGAATATGTCTTAGCTCAGCAACAAGAATGGATGAGGAAATACGACTATCTGAATCATTTGAAGTATTCTTCAGAAATAACGTCATGTGAAAAGGAAATAGTTCAAACCATGCTAGACATTTTAAAGAAAAATTAATCTGATTTTAATCGTACATATTTATTTCAGATCGTCCAGTTAACTTGAAGAGACAGTTAACTTGAACAGAACAGAGTATAGTTGGCAAGTCCATTAGAGAAATGACGGGGACGTCATTTTCTATTTGGAGGGGGTGTAGTAGAGGTACTTTAATTAAATGAAATAAAATGAATATTAAATATAAATAAATTAAATAAACTATTAACTGTGTTATAAATGATAAGTTTTCTGTTAAAAGATTATTCTTTTTCATTCTTTACTAATTTGAGTATTTAGTGATGTAGTTATACACCCCTTTGGATCCACCCCTGTACATACACTTTTACATGACCACACATGCATCTGTTGTTCAGATTTTGAAATGCTTGGGTTTCATTTGGTCTTTATGGGGTACTGAGTTTTATTCAGATTCTGAGTTTTAACAACGGATTTTGAGGATTTACCCGTGGAAGATTTTTAACAAAGCGTTGAAATCCTTTTACGTCGGTGCAAGAAAAACGTCGGTTTAGGAAAAATGCATTGCAGAACATTCGGTATCGGTTGAAACGTTTGGTTTTTTTTTATTTCATAGAAATACTTTTTAATTGCTCTTCCTCCTACAGTTTTGGTCCGATTACAATATAACTAAGTATACAAGTAAACTAAAGTCTAATCTAAAAAACATAATTCTGTGTATCGGTGTTTGATTTCGATGAACGGTGTTGCTTTCGTCAATAAAAACAGAAATTTGTTTGAAGAACTCAAAATGCTACTCCCACAGATTTGGTCAGATCTCAATATAACATGGCAACAAGTAGACTAAACTAAGATACATACATGTAATTCTGTGTATTGGTTGTCGGTTTCATAGATATACTTTCAAAATGCTACTCCTTCAGCTTTGGTCGGATTTCAATGGAACTTGACACACAAGTAGACTTCACTAAGGTACATTATTTATGTACAGGTTTTGGATTTTGATGAATGGTGTGATCGTGGTCACAAAACAGAATTTCTTAGAAATATGTTCAAAATGCTAATGCGACGTAAGGATAAACTCCGTACTCTGCGACCTTAAAGCAGATGCTCTATCCACTGCGCCACGCGGACGACTATAGCACACCTTTTGCAGTCCGTTATGTATATTTGTAATGGTCTTTATTAAGTTTTGGAATCCAATAATATTAATAGATATGGTAATTAAAATTTTTAATGGTTGCTGGGAATGTTAAAAATATTCAAAACTGACATTTTGAAGTATTTCCTCCAGGGAGGTATGGTTCTAAGTTGGATGACTACTAACAGATTTAAAACCCAGTTCCTCCAAAATACATTACAATATAAAATGTTCAGAAGCAGAAAAATGACTGATTTTGCTTCTCGTAACAAAACTTGTATGGTATATTTTTAAAAGTTAATATTACACTCAAAGCACCGAGCTACAATATTCTGAATCTTGTTTTTATCTGTAAACTTTTATAAGTAATATTATCAGAACAGAACATTCAAGAACATTTAATATCATTCACTTTGTGTTCCTTTAGAACAGTTTTGAAGAAAAGAAAATGAATAAAGATTAATGAATGAAGACTTTATCATTTTTATCATGAATTTTCCAATTGTGTACATTGGGGGGGGGGGGTATGTTAG